CCTGCCTCAGCCTCCCGAGTAGCTGGGACTACAGGCATGCGCCACCATGCCTGGCTAATTATTATATTTTTTAGTAGAGACAGGGTTTTGCTATGTTGGCCAGGCTGGTTTTGAACTCCTGACCTCAAGTGATCCACCTGCCTCGGCCTCCCAAAGTGCTGGGATTACAGGCATGAGCCACCGTGCCCGGCCAGAAAGATGATTGTGAAAATGGACTGGGTGGTTTGAAGGAAGGGCAAGGATGACCCATTTGCTGGTTTGGTTAAAGGAAAAAAAAATGAAGTATATATAATGTCTGAATTTGCCTTTGGGAGGGAAATCCTGCCCAGTCCCCCTTTCTTCCAGGCATGGAATCCTGGTCTCTGGGATAATGAGCGCAATGTCAAGTCTCAGCTGGACAGACAGGAGGGGCATGAGGGATAGGCTTTGGTGGACATGACGCTGGGGATGGTAGAGGACAGAGAAGGAACCACACATGAGGGACCCCCACCCTTGAGCTGCACCCAGATTTTCATCAAGGGCCCATCAGGATCAGGTGTCTGTGGGAGCCTCTTGCCCAGAGTGAGCTTATACCACATCACACCTTCAACAGTTCCCCTGCAACTCTCAAATAATGGATAGGTTAAAGCCTGAGGAGGGTTAATTTGCCCACAAGTCTTTCTGTGCTTTCCTCGTGCCATCACTCAGCTAGGCAGAATACATTCTCTCGCTCTTAACTCAGCCATCCCAAGGGAGGCAGAGATGATCAGATATAACTTTTGAACCCCCATCTCACTGGAGAAGGCAAATCCTACACGGGACATGCTCGTCCTGCCCAGCTGGGGGCTGGCATCTTCATTTCCAAATGATGCTGGGAAGTCAGGTCAGTTTCTGTACTGGAAGCATAAAGCACATGGCTTGGAATCAGCTCCCAGGAAAGGATCATTCTTTGTGCCTGAGAGCAAAGCCAAGGGAAACATGTGGCAGAAAGAGGTCACTTTGTTAATATTCCCCTTCTCTCCACCAATCCCCTTATTCAGAACACAGCAAGGCAGTTTTCTAGTCATCCAGTCCACCCATGGGGAATAAATACACCTCATGTCCCCCTGCTGCCAGTGCAGTGATGAGATGCAGGGCTGAGGGGCTGAGGAAGACGCTTCTGTGTCAAGGTAGATTCCGCTGGTGGTCTAGTATTGCCCAAATGGCTTCAGTAGGGATAGGAAAGGCCCCCTGCTTGTTAACAAAGAAGAGGTGAAGGGCAGAGAACCTGGATCTATCTGAGATCCGTGCGCTTTTTACTTTTTCAGCCGTTTGAGGGTTGACTGGCTCTAAGGAAAAGCTGTTTGCTGGCAGACACAGGTGGCTGGTGACAAAGGGAACAGAGCAGGGGAATGGATAGCTCAAAATGAGCCTCACCACTCCTGAACAGAACAGCAATCCCAGCTGTGTCCTTCGAGGGTGAGTGAAAGCACATGCTGTCCTCTACATGCTTGAGGCGGACTTGCCTGTCTCTTCAGGCCGGATGCTCTTCGGGGCCCTGTGGGGCTTAAACACATGTACTGAGCTAGCTCCAATCTTAATCTGCACAACATCGCAACCCCTGAGTTCCTATTAGCTCTGCAAAACAAAGCAAAACAGATCCCCACCAAAATTTCAGATTTGCAGCATCTGCTAAAACCAAAAGGCACAATCAACTTGTCGTCCTCTCTGGGTTACTGGGCAGGGGATATAGAAGGAACCAGAATCTGTGGCCAGAGTCCTCTCTCGGGTGGAGCTGGGCTCCAGGCCCCTCTAGCTGCCAGGCCCTCCCAGGAACCTGCCTGGCCCTTCACTTTGGGAAGGGACCTTGGCCCTTGGGGAAATGCATTTTTGCCAGACTGTAGCCTTTTGGAGGGGACTGAGCCAAGGCCCCATTGGCTCTCCTCTCTAAGCCTCTTGCTAATGGGCTCTGAGGCCAATGCCTTCCTCCAGGGGTTGGGGAGGTGGGTGGAGGAGTTAACTTGCTGGCTGAGGTCACTGCTGTGACTTGGCTCTTTGTATCTGATTTGTGTACAGGCAAAACTGGCTTACAGAAGAAAAAGGCAGGAACACCTGCACTGGGCCCTGGCCCTTGGAGGTGCTCTGGGGGCTCGTGCCAGTGTCGTGAGGTACATGTGGCTGTGGCCCCTTTTGGGCATGTGGCCTGGGTTTGCTGAGGGTCAGGAGGGTAAGGTCCTACCTTGATCCCAGTGTGGATCGCTCTGAGAGACCACAGCTCCCTCCTCTGGAGTCTCCTCTCCGAGCTCTCCAAGGGAAAAGACAAAGGAAGCCGAACTGCCAAGTTGAAGATTTTGCCTCAGGCAACTAAATTTATTAGCAAGAAAAAATTTTTGTCAGCCCAGCGCTGACCAACAAAGTACGTTAATAAAGGATAACAAATCTGTCACTTAATTCATAAAACATACCTCAAGCAGTTACAACTAAAAATAAAGTTGGATTTTTGTTTAATTTAAAAGCCTCAAAAATAACAAGCAATATGTTTTTAAACATGTAGTAGACACAATTGTCTATTATACAATATACACTGTACACAAGTAGAGCTTGGGCCGGGCAGGGGTGAGGTGAAGGGAGAGGGAAGAGGTGCAGGATGGGCAGGTGCTGTTATCTGAATCCAGATTTGAGTTTAAATGCTGTGTCATTTAGAAAAGGGAATTGCTAGAGTGAGAAAAAAATTCATATGCTCATCATTGCCCCCAACCCTCAACTGAAAGCAGGCATTGGGGAGGTGAATAACAAGGAAAGGAAGAAGGGAGCAATTAAATATAACTTCTTTAAAGCACACACAGTACACAGTGTTCATCATCTGAAGTAGAGAGTATAAGGCAACGTTCTCCATAGAAAAAGAGGGGGATCAGGAGGAGTCGGTGGGTGTCTTTACTTTTTAAACAGAGCTGGAATGTGCTGGAGGAGAGGTTGTGGCGGGGCTGGGCACATGGAGTGGAGGTGGCCCCGAGTCTCTCCAGAGGTGGGTGCCAAGCCCCAGGGCGTCCACAGTGGCCGGCAGGGCCAGGGAGGTGCAGGAGAGTGGGCATGGCACGATGCGACTCCGGCAGTGTTGGGAGCGGGGATTGGGGTGGGGGGTGGGGGCTCACTTTGCTCCTCGACGGAGTGAAATGCATGTTTTTCCTTTGGAAATAAGGGTTCCCACGCGTCCTGGTTTAGAACGTCTCATTGGGCACGGCCAGTGTCCACAGTCTGGGCAGGC